AGAGTTTAATTTTTTTATTATTATTATTATTTTATTTAATTTGTATTTAAAGTGAAGAGCTTCCTTCTTTGAAAAGAGAGGTGATTGGAGAATAAAGAAAGAATTTGATCTTATGAAAATATCTTGGGATTGACTCCTTTGTAGACCTAGAGAGGGTATAATCTCTCAATCTATTTTTATTTTAATTTATTTTTCTGTTTATTTTTCTCTTTGCCTCAATTGGTATCAGAGCAAAAATGATCAAGTCGTTATAATGCCACTAAAATCAGCTATGGATGATCACATAGGATAAATTTTGGAAAATCTAACCGTCATAGAAGATGTTCGAAGTGAAGCTCGTGAAATGAATCATCAGTTGCATTAGTTAGAGAGTATTATTCTTCAAGAAGATGGAGCTCACAATCACATAGATCTGACACCAACTTTTACTTTAGAGACAAAACTACCTCCACAATCGATTCCAAATGCCGATCACAAAGCACATAATGATGCAAGAACCACGATATGATGAACATCTACATGATCTTGACATTCAGCTTGATCTTTCTCAATTTTATGAGGAACTTGAAAAAGAAATCGAGATTAAACTCGAGATCCCATTGTTCTACTTTAAGATGCATACAAAGCATTTGATGAAATGATATATTGAATACAAAGTACCAAGGAGAATGATAGGACTTCATCGTCAATTATTCGATTGGCCTCTGAAAGATGTGAGCTCGAACTTGAGTTTCTCTCAACCCCAAAAGAATGATGCAAATAAAAAAATTAACTTTTATTGCATCATTCACTCAAGAAAGCATTGAAAGTCATCCAAAATCATAAAATTTGGGTCCAAGGCCGGGTTGGGTTTGGGTCAAGGTCAACCAACCCAAGAAACATGGAAAATATGTCATATTTATGTACACAATATTTATATATTAGAATAATAAATTTGTATCTATTAAATTAATTTCAACCTAAACCTGACCAAGTAGGTTAATTTCAACCTAAACCTGACCAAGTAGGTTAAATCCAAGGCTATTTGACAACCAAGGCAAACTCTAACACAAACCCAGCCCATTTACAACCCACACCTCGACCTCCAACCTCATTGGTATAAAGACAAAGAATTCATGCTTTTAAAATAGTTCATCATATGGCACCTTTGGACCACATCCATCCATTTCAAAGTTACTTTAGATCTGTATGCAGTATTTTTAAAACTTCCAAATTCCTTAGTAAAGAGCAAAAGTAGATCTTGCAAGCCCTTGTAGCGATTTAAATTGAGGTAGTCTTTACGAAATTTCATAAATCCAAAGCCACAAAAAAACGATCGTCTATAAAGGACCATTGACCTTTTGCACGCGGATGTCAATCATTTTTATCCTTTAAATTTCTAAATAGGTGCCATTGAATCGACGTAGGTCCCAAAAATATTCTCAAATGTCGTGACTCAACCAAAGCCATCCAATTTAATATGTAATAAATATAAATAAATATAATCCCCTTATAATAAATAAAGATAAAGACAAGTATACAAAGAGACCATTTACTTTTCATACAAAAATGTTACAACTATTCTTGTACGTTAGATTTCAAATCCGATAATTGTAAGAGTGTTCTTGTCTATTAGATTTCAAATCCGATGGTTGTAAGAGTGTTGTTGATGAGACTAAAAGTTCAAAAAAAAAAATTCTTAAACTTTACAGCACACCCCAAGCCAATCCAATATGATATTTAATAACTACAAACCATATATTCCCTAGTAAAAAATTATAAATTTCATGTATAAACTCTATTTCCCTTATTTGAGAAAGTATATAATGAGACCATTCACTTTGATTTGGAAACAATTTCAATTTTGATACTAAATTCAGGGCAAAATGGTCAAGTGAAAATTTGGAATAAGGCATCTCTTTTGATAGCTAATCCCCACACTCATATCATTAGATTGTAGTCTCTTCCTCTTTCAACATGAAATTAAAGAAAACATGAATGTCCTCGAAACACAATTTCTTCTAATACATTTCCTAGCAACCTAAGAACTACTACTTAAACCTCTGAAACAAAACAAGTAAAGTGAACAAAAGAAAAATAGTGAAAGTGATTGAAATGGAAGTTCAGAATCCACATAGAGACAAAACCATGGAAAACAAATAGGGTTAAATATCTCAAAACTGCAGTTTACCACATGCCTCTGCTTCATACTTTGATGGCATATTTCCTTTGGGGGAAATATTTCTCTCTCTTAATCTCCCTCTCGGTCTTCAAGGAAGCCTGCACAGAAGGAACCATACAAAGTTGGAAACAATGCTCTTTGCAAAAATAAAGTTAATACAATTACACCCCCCCTTATCACAAGCTTAATATCATGGAAACCAACATTAACATATACAAAAATTTCTACTGTTAAAAAGGGCCAGAGTGCAACAAAATGTTTGAATAACAATAAGGTGTCTGTTGTTTCGGAATATGATCCTTGCTATCCTTCTCTATTCACCCACCGCCTAATAGAAAAGCAACTTCCCAAGCTTGTCACGACAAGCTAAACTTTAAATGTTGTTATACACAACAAAGCCAGGAATGTTGCACGTTATCCCAGGAAACAAATAGAGTGAGAGTATTACCCTCAGTACAAAAGGTACGATTTCCAGGAGCTCGGTGAGTCTAGGACTCATGAAATTCTAGTTTGTATCACGTTCTCAATGGGTTCAAAGACCACAATCTCTCATTCAAGACTATATTTGTCATCATCTATAACTTGACAACTTTTATGAGCTACATTCAAGACTATATTTGTCATCATCTATAACTTGACAAAAACTTCTATGAGCTGGCAATAGAGAAGGCCAGCAGTGGATTGCCATTCAATATATATATATATATATATATATATATATGGACAACGATTTCATGCAACCGTTGTATAGAAATATGATGCAACAACCTTAAAAAACCATCTTATGGCCATTTTGAAAATATACACTCTTTTCATTCTAATGAACAATCACAAAAAAAGAAAAAATTGAAAACACAACCTATAAAGTATTTTTTTAGCCCAATTAACATAGGCCGTTCATTTTGGAAGATGTTTAGATCTAGGCTTTAGAAGGATTTTTTCATTTCCAATTTTTTTGGATGGCTTTATTATCATTAGGCTAACAATGTTAAAAATGAAAAAAATGATTTCGAGTTTATAAAGGCTAAGATCTTGAAATTCACAAAATGAATGGTCTAGATTCGTTTTTGAAGGGGACTCATTTTGACCATATCTAGGGTTCAAATTGAACTATATTTTTGGGAGGGATTGATTACTGAGATGAAGAGAGTGTGTGCAAAATTTGGATTCATACAAATACCACATACATGGTTTTCTAGAAGTGTCGTTGCATTATACTACAATACAACCGTTGCATTGGATCACTGCTCTATATATATAGTGTCCGTTGGTAAGGAAGAGTGCAACTCTAGGCAGTTTATGCAAAATAATAAATACTACAGATTCTTCATTCCAAATGAGTACCATGAGATTTGTGCCTATAATAACTGTAGCACCATGTGCAGCCAAGTTCGAATGTGACAAAAAGCTTGGTAATTTGTCATATAAGGATTCATCAGAATACATGAATGGAGTCTGAGTGTACCAGAGGAGAGTGTCAAGTGTCAAGTGCCTAATGCCTAAGGGCGGTCACAGTATACATCCATTGGAAACCGAGCAAGTGAGTATTAAATGTAGATTTCCAGCAGTGTTTTAAAAACATCAGACTGGTAAGTTAAACCGGTCACCAGTCAGTTCCAAGTCGGGTCAAAAACCACATCAAAATAAAAAATTAAATTTAGAAAATTTTCTGGTACATACAACTGCCCCAAAACCCCAAACTGTTGGGGTTTCAATATGATCTCATTTTGTTTAACATGTTAATAACAAAATATTGATTCAAAATAATTCAAATCAATAGAGATTTATTTATTAAATTTGAATGAAAACAGATGTATTCAAATAAAAATTCATACAATGAAAGTTCAAAAATCAAAACCCATTTGAGATCCAAAAAAATTGTGCAAAAAACATTTGAATATGATTCTTTTATACCAAGCTTGAATTAAGAATTTCAGAACCCTGGATATCGAACATTTTTTTTTTGTATAAATCATTTAAAACTTAAAAGCTCAAAGCCTCAAAACCCTAGTTTTCCACCACAGATCAAAGTTGAAATCAATGATTCATTTATTTCAGCCGTAAATATAGGGCTATTGAAGACCATGAGTGGAACATTTTCTAACAAATTTGAATCAATTTGGTGAAATAATGAGAGTATCGTGAAATAAGATTCCGGGGGTTGCTTTTAAAACACTGCTTTCAAGTAATGATTAAGCACTCTCATTAGAATATTATCTCAAGATTTAGGGTCCATCACAAATAACACTTGAGCAACACATAAACTGAACAATTAAAAAACCAATAGCACCACGTAACCCTTCCAAAGAGACCCCAAATGCTTCTAATTAATACCAAAATATCCATAGTTAATAATTTATTCTGCAAAAATACATTCACCTTTTCATAAGCACATATAGTCTCATACAAAAATAAGAATCCCACTTAGAACAGGGAAATGAATTTCTACTAGCCAGATGAACCATACAACATGTATAAATCATTTGCAGTAAATCATATCACTTGCACCAGTTGAGAGCAAGCCATCAACATTGAATCCATAAAAACGAAACTAAGGAAAAACCAAGATAAACAAATGACACGAGGAAGAAGAGACTCTGCCAACCAAGAAAGAAAAATACCTGATGTTTAGTGAGACGGCGTCGAATTGCACGAGTCTTCTTCGGGCGGAGATCCAAAGGAAGGAACTTTTTCTTCTGGTAGGCATCTCTCAACGCTGCTTTCTGCTTCTGAGATATAACAGTGAGAACCTGGGCAATTGAGAGACGTACCACCTTACTGCAATGAAACCCAGAAAGAGTTAGAATCTTGAGAGAACAATTACAAGGTGAATTTTTATTTGGGCATTGCTAATGCTATACGAATCTTAGTCACAAGTCACTTGCTGATAAAGAACAGAAAACAGTTGGAAGAAAAAACAAATAAAAGAAAACTACATTGACACTTTCATATAACAATTGGATTAGGATAACCCACATTTTGGAGAGCTTGTTGGGAGCACCCCCAGTAACCTTGGCAACTCTGAGCAATGCAAGCTCAGCCTTAAGCTCCTTCAATTGATTAAGAAGCTCTGTCTTCGTCTTAGTCCGTAACTCATGGACCTTGATTCTTGCTGCATCATCGCAGAACACACAACTAAGAGTTTTAAAGAGAAATAGAAAATTAGAAAAGAAAAAAGAAACATATAGATATGTAATAACAGAAGCCCAACATCCTTTGCCCAATCTTATTAACATTTAACATTGAATGTACATGATATTGAAGAGAGAAACTAGGTTAAAGATTCTTAGGTAATAATCTGAAGCACAAATTCAAAAAAGCTGGGGTAGAAGTGAAGCGAAAAGAATCAAGGTGGATCGTGGAGATGATACGCTTAAGCAAACTTCCTCCGGGTACCTTTTAAACTCAGTCACCCCAGAGTGTTAGAATAAATGATTAAACCCCAGTATAAGTATCTCAACTAGAGAATTAACTCCAGATAAACATGACTCAAAAACTCCAGCCTAGGTAAGAACTGCTCAAGTTTCTAGACAAGAATGATGAGCGCGCATGTTGGATCTTGAATTGAATCCAGGAACTATGATCCCAAAGGGATAATGCAAATTAAACCCAGTACCATCTTTTCCACTGGTTCTACAAACCATCGTAAAAATAATGAAAGCGTAATGCAAGACAAAATTATTCTAATTTTTAATTTTTGTTTAATTTCAAGAGATGTATATTTTAATTTTAGTTTTAGGTTTCATTTTTAGGATTTTTAAGTTTTCTAGGGATTTTAGGATATTTTTACATTTTTTATTTTTCATTAACTGTTCATGCATTTCTTTTCACAGGGGTATTTCTGGAATTTTAGTATTTCTTAGAGGTATTTTAGAGTCTTAAATGTGCAGTTGGGTATCAAGTTAATTTTAGGATTGCATAAGCTTATAAAATGTTGAATGTCACATTTTAGGAGGCTTATATTATTGGAATGATTTTTAGTATATGAAAGAATAAAGTTCTTCACTTGACTTGATTTACAGCTATGTCCTTTCTCCATTATTGCTAATTTTACTTGTTTACGGTTCAGAAAAATGGTGAATTTAATTTCTCACCTTTCCTTCCTGAATCAAGTGGCGTTGGAGCATGGTTCAAAGATGGTTAGTGATTGCAATGGCTGGTCGTGGAGGTCTTAGCCACAGGGATCTCAATCTAATCTAACTACACAAGAAAATCAACAAGTTGACGAAGAGGATTGCAGAGCTATTGTTGCGCAAACAAGACAAGCAATAGTGTGCCCTACACGAAGAGGAATCTAAACAAATAGATCCAAATCAAGAGGGTTTTATGAAGAATGGCATAAATCAGAGTCCGACTCAACCTGGGAGCCGAATGACGACGTGTGAAGTTCCATAGATGCGTTCGATGCGTAATGGCATCGACAAGAGCAATATTTTGAAGGAGAACAAGTAGGTTCAGATCCTAAATTGGAATCATCATTCCTTGAGGGCAAGGGTGACCGCATCGTTGATGGTGATCCTATTTTTGATAAAAAAAACAATATGAAATAAAAGAAGTTGGCCTTGAGGCAGCAAGGACATCTAACTTCCTCATGAATGGAGAGATGGAATAGCAAAGCATTGACCTGAACCAAGAGGAGTTCGAACCTAAGGAGATTTCAGAGGAAGAAAGAAATAAGTTGAGGAAGGAGGGACAAAGCGGGAAAGCTAGAAATACAACATATGAGGATTTTGAGAATATGATAAAAGAATTATAAGAAACACATGATGATGAAGATGCATCTTATTTCATTGATAAAAAGATTAATGGTGAACACCTATCCAATAGAGTGGTTGTGTACCTAGAAATGGAAAAGTATGATTATTGTTCTAAAAATTGTGACAATGCCTTCTAGGTTGAAGAAGATCATGGGTGGATCCATCTGAGCTCATTTCAAAACTCAAAGGCGAGTTTCGTCCAACCAAGGGAGAATGAATCAAGACAAAATTATTCCAATAACATAATTTTTATTTAATTTCAAGAGATATATATTTTAATTTTAGTTTTAGGATCTATTTTTAGGGTTTTTAAGTTTTCTAGGAATTCATTATTCTATATGTTACTATTTTTATTTACTGGTCACGAGTAGTATTCATGGGAATAGTTCACATGTTATTGTTCATGCATTACTGTTCATATGAGTATTTTGGAATTTTGGTATTGTTTAGATGAGTATTACTGTTTTATTTATAAAAGGTTGGATGTCACATTTTGGGAGGCTTATGTTATTGGTATTAACTTTATTTCATGAAAGAAGAAAGTTCTTCTCTGGGCTTGATTTACAGCCATGGTCTTTCTCCATTATTGCTATTTTACTTGTTTAAGGTTCAGAAAATGGGTGGATTTAATTTTCCACCTCTCCTTCCAGCAACAAAGCCCAACAAAATTGATCATATATTATCAAAGCAGTCATTCTAGAGGAGTTCCATAAAAAAATCTGATGATCTGCAGATTAAAGAAACATTCTGCAATCACTAGTAAGTTTCTTTTTTTGAACAAATTGTTATTCATGACAGGTTTTTTGGGGAAATTCAAAATTAAAACATGCAACACATGGTAAAGCTTAAAAGGATCTAGGGTAAATCAATCCATTGATGCCAAATGAAGAATATCTATAACTCCTCTTAAATATGGCCTACGGAGGATACCTAAACAATGGAAAGGAAAATGGACCAAATCATTGTTCCCCTTTTTCCACTAGATCAACATCCATTTATAATCTGGAAATGTCCCAAACCCACAACATTGTAGTATATCTAAACAGACAGCAAGCACAAAAAGACCACAATGCTCATAACATAATAAAACCAAAGAAGATCAAAAAAGAAAGAAAAGTTAACTCAGTCATTAATGACTGTACAAACAAGTAGAACGCAAAGTTTTCACTAGAGGTCAATTGGAGACTTTAGAAGTCCATAGAAATTATATGGGTGTGCAGTAGTAAGAGCACTGAGAGTTTCATATATTAGACGATGAGCTGGAAACATTGAATCAAATCCACACAAGAAAATAAACCAAAAGAATAGCAGAAAAAACCAATGAAGTAAATTGCTAAAATCATTCAGATTAATATTTTGAATACAATTTAAAGGGAAATGCCGGAATCAAACGAGCAGATAAACCTAAATAGTTGCAAAAATCTAAAGCTCAAGATAGATAGAGAGAATTTCACATGTTCTGAAGGTATTTGAACAGAAATAGATAGAGGAATAGAGAAAACAGCATGTCCATCACTAACTCACAAAAAAAAATTCAGCTAAACACCATATCTTCTGTTTCAAATTAGTACCAACCCCTAGAAGTCCACAAAAAACTGTATTCATTTCATACGAACGCCAAAAACCAATAAGAAAAATGTAAATCCCGATAAAGTATCATAGCGAGTAGATCTCAACCATGAAACCAAGTTCGCCTTTGCGCATGAATGGGTAAAGCCCTAATAGCCAATAGAATCCCCAAAAACCTAAACACCTCTAAAAAATGGTGCTAGAGTTCGCAGAAACATGAGATGGGAACTAACATAGATATAAAGACCCCAAAAAATTTGCAGCTTCACAAGAATGAGAAGCACCATTGCATTAGAAAGAAAACCCTAATCCTAGAAAGTGGTAGTAAGATTGAGATCTCACCCATGACGCCCTAGGGTTTCTGATGAGGAAAGCTAGCTGATAACCGAGGGTGGAAAAGCCTTTGCTCTAGGGCCTCTTATAACTAGGGTTTTGACCCACTTTGTAGTTTTGTAGAAGGGGAGACTAATTTCGATAATACGGTCATGCAATCCAGGAATACATGCCATTCTCCACCGTCTATTTCCATTCCAAACGACGGAGATTGACTTTTCTCGCTGATACTCCGTTGGGAATTTTTATTAGGTCTAGGTTTTATGAAAACAAATCGTCATTTGAAAAGTACTTTAAGCAATAGAAATCTCCATGATGGCTTTAAAATCAATTTTTAACATTAACAATAAATTTTTTAAATTAAAAAATAGTATAGATCTTGCTAATATATGAACATTTATTTTATGGTGAAATAGACGGTATATATAATTTGTTATAATATATACTATTTTTAGAGCTTAAAATCACTTTTTTTTTTAACAACGATAATGTCCAAGCCGAGATAATCAATGTAACGGCTTTTCAAAACTTGAATTACAAGTTTATATGAGTTATGAGGTGAGCCTTTAATTATTTTGATCAGGTTGCAGCTCTATGAAATTATTTTCCATTTATTATAGAAAAAGAAAAAGTTTATATAAGATTACAACCTTATAATGTAAGAGCTACGGATGCATCTCAAAAATTCATCGAAAAAGATAGTTTTAATGTTGAAAAACCGTTTGATTGATCATCTCGACATCAAGATGTATCACCGTGAAAAATAAAAAGATTGTAAGTCTCTGAAATAGTGTATTTTACAACATATCATCTACACCGTCCATTTTTAAGATTTTCATATGTTTACATATCTACTTGATTTTAACCATTTTTAAAATTTAAAATTTTATAATTAGATATAAACATAGATTTTGAGATAATCCTAATAACATTTTACATCAAAATTATATACCATGATAAAATTTGAAGGCGCACCTTACCTCTACAACTACGGATGCATCTGTATGCCAACTACACCCTATAGAAAAATGGTTTAATAGGGCAGCATCCTATCAAAATAAGCAAATCCTTACCTTATAACACATTGAAAATTGTAATTCAATTATCGAAAAACCTTTACATTGATCATCTTGGTTTCAACATAATGGTTGTGAAAAAAAAAAAAATTAACCTCTAAGAATAGTGTATATTTTAACAAATTATCTAGACCATCCATTTCGCCCTAAATATAAATGTTCCACATTTTTTTTTGTTGGGTGCAGTTGGCATACAGATACATCCGTAGCTGTAGAGATAAGGTACACCCTCAAATTTTA